AAATATTTTTATCAAAATTTGAATTTACCCAAACCCTAACTTTAAAAAATCCCATAAACACTACTACTATTATTGCCACCGCTTCCATCATCTCCATCAATATTGTTACCAACCTCAGTATTGTTGTCATCACCATCACCACCACTCTACCAATATCATCGCCTCACCTCCATCACTAATGCCACCACCACTGCACCATCACCTCCGGCCCCACCATTGTCGCCATCACCTCACCTACACCTCTGTTGCCACCACCTCACCTCCATCATATCGTTGCCTCCATTGCCACCACCACCCTACTATTGCGTTTGTGGCTAACGCCTCACCACCAAATCTTGCTTCCAGATTTATTATCACATGTTTTTTTTTTTAAATAATTTTATACATAAAAAATGCCTTTTAATTTTAGGAAAAAACTACTCTTATGCTATATGTGATAAATTTCTTTCCTACTCACCCTTCAATAACTGTGCCACCTTTTTTTTTTCAAAATAGTGGAGCCCACAAGTTTGTCTCCATGATATGAGATAACTTATCTCCTTTAACATGAGATTAATAAAACCCTTAATTTTAACAATCAAATAATTTTTAGGGTTCGCTTTTTTTAAAGTTACTTTATATAACTTTATCTAATGTTCGCCTAAACGACGTTGTTTTGGTGCGAAAATCATGGTGTATTTGTAATTTTAATTTACTTCAGGGTTATAATAGTCTTTATCATTCTAATTTTTTAATTTTCAACCTCAAAACGACGTCGTTTCGGTGAACATTAGACAAAATTATCTAAAGTAACATTAGATATTTTTTCCCCTAATTTTTAATCAAAAAAACTTTTCACATATTACATCGAAATGCAAATAGCTCTAGCTTTTAAAAAAGTTCTTACAAAAAAAAGTAAGGCTTAGAAAATCTTTTTTCTTTCTTTCTAAAAACTCATCCAATAATGCCCATTTTTATTTTTGTTTTATTTTTGAAATTTGTACTAAATACGAGAGTGTCTTATTCTCAAATTTATGTTTCTAATAATAATTTCACAAACCTTAAGACAAATACACCCTTAAAATAATTGATTGGGAAATCTTTTAGATTTAATAGGTCGTTACAATTTTTTGTTGGGAGAGCTTTATTAAATACTCTTTTTTGTCTATTGCCTCTCATCTTCAATTTATTTTTCCCCCATTTTTTTCTATTCAAATAACCTTTTAGAAATAGTTACTCTTTTTTTTATCTATTCTATGAAATAACTTTAAAAAAAAATCTTTTGTCATTTCTATTTTGTCACTTTTTTCTAGTCTTCAACTATATTATAAATATCCTTTTAAAAACCTCTTGCCACTTCTTTATTCTTTTTTGGAGTTACTCGACCTTAATTACTTCTTTAAGACAAGTCGGCAAAAATGACTTGTAGGGATCGAATCCTTTCTTTTCCACTACTTAGCTCTCATTACTATCAACTAAGCTACCTGCCTTTCGTACCTCTCGCCACTTCTGATTGTATATTAGCATTATTTTTCAAATAATTTTTATTTATTTAAAAAACTATTGTTAATACCAAAGTTAAAACTGGAGGTTTATTATTACTCTCATTCAAACTTCAAATTAGCCAAATTATAATAATTAACTTTGAAAGTTACTTGCTACTTGTGTGTTCCAAAATCCAAAAAATGGTCATGCCCATTAGCCTATTATCAATATTTGTTTTAGCATCCAATTTTATCGTTAAATTTTGTCATTATAAAGAATTCGGGTTAAAGCACCATTTTAAAATTTTTGGGCAAAAAAATTGTCCAGTTAAAGTTGATTGGATAAGTTTTTCCAAAATAATACAGTCAAACATGTCAATTATACTAACGGGACTAGTCCCGTCAATGATACTGACGGGACTCGTGCCACATCAGGCAGTCCCGTTAACGTAAAACTTCGGAAGACCATAACTTTTGACTCGGGTATCCAAATCAGATGATTTTTTTTTATTTCACATAAATTTTCAAGACTACGCAATGACAGCTCATTTGATATATTTTATATCCCACAAACATAGTTTGAATTTGCAACAATAGTTCCACAATTACAAGATCATCTAAATCCAGAAAATCCCGAGTTCTTTCCGAACCAATACTATGAGCTGTCGCATGTGTCATCTTCTGGATTTAAACGTTTTTGTGATTGTGGTACAATTGTTACAAATTCAAACTATATTTGTGGGAGATAAAATATCTCAAATGAGGTGTCATTGCGTAGATCTCGAAAAGTTATGTGAAATAAAAAAAAAATCATTTGATTTGGATAGCCGAATCAAAAGTTATGGCCTTTCGAAGTTTTACGGTAACTAAACTGCCTACGTGGCGCTGACGTGGCACGAGTCCCGTAAGTATCATTGACGGGACTAGTTCCGTAAGTATAGGTGACATGTTTGAGTACATTGGTTTGGAAAAACTTATCCAATCAACTTGAACTGGATAATTCTTTTGCCCATAAGTTTTAAGGGTTTAGTGTTTGTCATTTTAAATGACATAACTTTGTGTCATTTTTAATGAAACTACGTCGTTTTGGTGTGTTTTGTCTCTCCTCCATTTTCTTTTTATTTCTAATTTTATAAATTAGAAAAAATGACAAAACACACCAAAACGACGCAGTTTCATTAAAAATAACATAATTTTGTGTCATTTAAAATGACAAACATTTTTCCAAGTTTTAAAATGACAAACATTATCAAACAGCTATCCTTAGGTCGCTGGTTCGAATCCGGCAGGTCGGAAGTTTTTATCCTCACCAAAAAAAAAAAAAAGATGCTTTTTCCAAAGAATTCGCCATATCCTTTACTAGGCTTGCATAATATTTCTTAGTAGATGCATAATATTTCTTTCGGTTTGGCTAACATGTGAGATGACATCAACGATTGCTTGAGGAACTAGGCCGTTAGCCTATTTATTCCATTTTTTAATAATTATTAATCATATGAATGAAGAGTTTAATTAGTTTTCTGCATTTAATATGTTTTAAATTTTTATTTTATTTTGAAGTAAAAATTTGATTTTTTTTTCATTTTGACTTAATGATTTTGACATTATTTTTTAAATGAGTATTGAATAACAGAACTTAAAGACCACATATAAAGAGACTTAGGACCTATTTGGATGATTTTTTTTTTCTCCAAAAACTATTTTTTTAAGAAGAAAAAACACTTCTCACTTTAAGTTCGTTTGGATGTCTACTTTTAAAAAAAACAGAAGTCACAAAAAAAGCTAAAAGCCTACTTTTTTTAGAAGCTAAAAATTTTAACTTCTAAAAAAAATAGAAGTCAAAAGTCAAATACTTTTTTCAAAAACAAAATATTTTTATAAAAATATAAATATATTTAACTTTTATGAAAAACACTTTTAAAATAAGGAAGAGATAAAAGCTATTTTTTTAAAAGACGAAACAAATAGGCTCTTGAACATATTATGCCAAGATAATCATGCAATGACTGTCACATTCATTTAACCACGGTTAATGTAACCGTGCCTCAAGGGAACGAACCTAACTTATAAGTAGGGATAAACTCTAGTCGGTAAAACACACTAATTCCTCTAAAAGTTTTCTTGGACAATTTACTTACATGAGGATTGAGTCCCTTTTACACTTATCTCCATGATTCGTCCGTTGGAGGAGCTATCATTCTCAACCATTAAAGAGCAAGCATAACCACCTAGATTCAGCACCAAGCTGGAATGTTCAGCCAAAACCTTGATCTAGAGCAGTTTTTTATGATAGGACCAAATTAAAAACACGTGTAATGTATAAAGGTAAAAAATAATGTATCTTTTATCTTTATTGGTAACAATGATTTTTAATTAATTGGTTCCTATATTTCACAACAATTTCATATCAATTGAACTAGAAACCGAACCACTATTTAATCCGGTCCAATCAATGTATCGTTAAGGACACAATTCGATCAAGAACCAGTGAACCGACACTATAGAACTTGGCACCTAAGAGAAGAGTAAAATGCTAACCATTAAGTCACATCTCTTATCAAATATTTCTATTTATATATTTATTACACATTTTTAATTTAATTGACCCATTGATTCGATATCCCAATCGAGTCAGATCGGATTTAATAACATTAATTATAACCGTAATAAAAGTGATTGTATGTGTAGCAACTAAACATTTTCTTGGTATAAGAACTACATCAAAAATAAATATTTCATGTGTGATAATATAATGGCTTCTAAATTTCAATATTTTTCTAACCGAATACTTTTATAAAGGCTAAGATGAAAGAAATATCTTGTGGTTATACCCTTTTGGTTTGGGACAAAAAGAAGAAAGAAATACTTTATAAAGGCTACGAAGAAAAAAGGAAAAAAAGGAAAACAACAATGGTTAGGTAAGGTGGTTGCAAGTTTCCCTGGTTTGGGAACACCAAAGAGATCTAGGATTGGAGAGAAGTGAAAGAAAAAAAGAACAAGGACAAATAGAAGATAATTAGGCAAAGGGTGTGAGTTGGAATTAGAGAGTTATGGAAAAAGATTGGTGGGTATCCATTATCAAAAAATAAAAATAAAATAAAAAACAAAAAAACATGCACCTTCTATGCGCACTAACTTGAAAGTGCACAATGCCGCATTTTGAATCACTGTGGGCCAATCCATCTTCCCTCATAGGCAAGCCAGCAAGAGGTATCACCCACCTCATCAACACTCAACACTCAACCCATCATTGCCTTCACTGAATTCTTTCCCACTCTTCCTTTCTTTCCGTCACCAAAACAGCAAAAGACATGTTCCCATTCACACCTTGCTCTCAGACCAATCCTTGTCATAACACTAACTCCTAGATACCATGTTTTTTATTTCTCTTCATTTGGACTTGTTTGCTTTTCTTATGTATGTCTCTTATTCCTTCCTCTAAAATCTAAACCATGGTTCTTAAAGAGTGAAGAAAAAAAAAAAAAAAAAACACTGAGAAAGAAAAAAAGTTCTGGTTTTTTTTGTGTGTGATGGGGTGTTGGTAAAGGTGCTGGTGCAAACTGCAAAGTTGTTTTTTTATATTTAGAATAATGGGTAATTGCTGGTATAAATGGGAATCATCAGATTATAGAATATCATCCAATGCAAAGACAGGTTAGTTTGCAAACAAAAAACTTGCCTTTCTCTATTTTGTAAAGTTTTCTATAATCTGGGTATTCATTGTTTATCAGTGCCTGAATGGTTATGTTTTTGGGGTTTGTTTTGTTAGAGCTTTGATTGGATCCCCTGTTTCCCTCCTACTAGATTATGGTCTCTCTCTTGAAATGGTTTCTTCATCTCTTTCTTATTCTTCTTCTTTTTTTCCTTTGTTTTTTCAATATTCTATCTCTGATGAATGCTATTGTTAAGGTTTCTATAGATTTTGGAGCATTCCGAGTTTCCCTTCTTGCTTTCATTAATTACCCTTTCAGCTAGTTTGAGTTTTCATTGAATTTTTTATAGTAATTAAATCATTTGAATCTAGTGGAACTTTTGTATGTAGTGTTAGCTTCATAGGTCGTCCTTATAGGCTAGTTTTAATTCTGCAAATCATTGGAAGAAAAAAGAGAACAATAAAACAGAAATGTTCATATATGAGTTACACGTTGTCTTCAAATCTTTTTTACCTTTCCGAAGTTGCTTCCATGTAGAATAGGTTAATATGACCGTGGCTGATCACCTTTTCCTTGTGTCTGCCTCAAAAGTGGGTCAGCTTCTAGTGGAAACCTCTAACTCTAGTGCTTTGAGTATTATCTTAACTATTATTTCTATGAAAATTGATGGTGGGTTTTAAAAATATTATCGATTGCTTCACAAATTATAATATATTCCCAAAATCACATGCTTTTGAAAGTGTATCTCTTTTTCTTTTCTGTCTTCTATGGTGGAATATGAAAAGGAGTTTATGTAGAATTCTTAATCTTTTTATATAATAACTTTACAGTATTTATCTTCTGTTTTCAGTCATCATGCCAGTTGTCTATATAATATACCGTTGGATTAACTGTTTAATGTAATTCTAATAGCTTTTTCTATAGCCTGATCCAACGACTTAAATTTTTAGGTTGAAATGATTCTTTATATGATATGAGAGCCTCAGTGTCACGGTTTAATCTTTTCGCCCCCTATTTAATTAATAATTAATTAAGTCTTGTGAAGTTTCTTATATGCATCATCTAGACATTCACCTTTCAAGGTCAATGGTGTTAAGAATCTTGAGGTCACCACCCTAAAAGCTAGCTCAGAGAATGGGAGTGTCCAAGGCCTTATAAAGGCCACATTAGTTGCCCACACAATCAATGTGAGACTATATATCTCAATACGCCCCCTCACGCAAGAGCCCTTTGGACTAGAAGCGTGAAATTGCACAGGCCCATTTTTTGTTTACCTTTTTGTGCTTTTTTATTTTATTTTAATTCCACTTTTTAAAGCGGGGGACGGTGAGGCTCTGACTGATACTATGTTAAGAACCTTGAGGTCACCACCCCAAAAGCTAGCTCAAAGAGTGGGAGTGTCCAAGGCCTTATAAAGGCCACATTAGTTGCTCACACAATCAATGTGAGACTATATATCTCAACAAATGGTTCTCGTGTGAGGAGGCGTGTTAGATATATATATATATATATATAAAAACTCTAACCCCCGTCTTAAACTTTTAGGTCGAAATGGTTATTTACACGTTGCTTTCGTGAGAATAATTGGATGAATATAAATGGGAATAAATAGTCTTTCCAAAGTTAAATTGTGCATATAAGACGGTGAGGCTCTGATACCATGTTAAGAACCTTGAGGTCACCACCCCAAAAGCTAGCTCAAAGAGTGGGAGTGTCCAAGGCCTTATAAAGGCCACATTAGTTGCTCACACAATCAATGTGAGACTATATATCTCAACAGATGGTTCTCGTGTGAGGAGACGTGTTATATATATATATATATATATATATATATATATATATATAAACTCTAACCCCCGTCTTAAACTTTTAGGTCGAAATGGTTATTTACACGTTGCTTTCGTGAGAATAATTGGATGAATATAAATGGGAATAAATAGTCTTTCCAAAGTTAAATTGTGCATATAATTTGTTCTCATTTCTCTTATTGATTCACCAAAAGAACAAAACCAGGAAATGAGACAAAGAAATGATGATAGAAACTTACCACGGAATCCTGAAGAAGTAGAAGACCTACGCCGTGATTCAGCTGCAAATCCATTGATTGCATTCACTTATGATGAGTTAAAGATAATCACTGGAAATTTTAGGCCAGATCGTGTCTTGGGGGGAGGAGGATTTGGAAGTGTTTATAAAGGGTTTATTTCTGAGGAGTTAAGGAAGGGGCTTCCTTCTCTTCCTGTAGCTGTTAAGGTTCATGATGGTGACAACAGTCATCAAGGGCACAGAGAATGGCTGGTAGGTATTCTTTATGTCTTTATATCTTTGCGTACATTGTTTTGTATGGAATTATTTAACTGCAAAATCATGATGCTTGACATTCTATGTTTATCATACTATGTGCACATATTAATTGGTGTAACAATAAAAGATTAATTAAGATTTTCATTGCTTTTTTTTTTTTTAGGCAGAAGTCATATTTTTGGGGCAGCTTTCACATCCAAATCTAGTGAAATTAATTGGATACTGCTGCGAAGATGAACATAGGGTGCTAATATATGAGTATATGGCCCGTGGAAGTGTGGAAAACAATCTGTTCTCCAGTAAGTATTTTATGCCACTTTTTTCTGGATATTTAAATTCTTCACTCTTTTTTTTAGGGGTAGGTTATATTTACAAACTTTTTGTTTACAAATTCTTACAAATTACACTAAGTATGACCGGTCATACTTCAATCAAGAGTGTATGACCAGTCATACTTAGTGTAATATGTAAAAAAAAAATTGTAAACGGATCCTTCTCCTTTTTTTTATACTAAAGCTAAGGACATCATTTGGGTGCCAATGTAGATAACCATAGCTAGCAAGTAATTTAAACATATATCTAAATTCCAAAAAAATATTATTTTGTTATTGCAGATGGATCTCATCTCACCTAAAGAAAGGAAGATATAATAAAGTGATTTTGGTTCCATTTTGTAGCTTCCTGGAGTAACATCCAAGTTAGAAAAATATTATTACATTGAACCACTTAATGTGAGCCATGTCAACTATATATGGGCCATCAATGCATTCAACTTTACCCACAACATTTGATTTATAGAACTGATCACGATTAGTGTCTAATTAATTAAAAACAACGATGACCCACATAATTGATATGACACATACTGGGTGGTAAAATGTAAAAATATTATCTTATACCATATGTCCCTAAGAATGTCTCTTGTTACCCTCCTTTGCTGATTGTGAGAATCATTTATCTTCTTCACCTACTTCTCAATCTCACACTCCCGTTCACTCTTGGACTTTCTGGATCATCTTTTTTTTTTTTTCCCCACACTTGGAGCATCACACAATTAGTGCATGTTTGAGAGTTTTTTTTTTTAGCTTCTCTTCTCTTTATAGGTAGAAGCTAGGCTAAATAGATTTTTACAAAAACTCTTATAATTAAAAGAGCTTTTTAATTTGTATCAACTTTTTTTAAAATGTGTGCTTTTTTCTCAAATGAATAGTTTTTAAGTAACTTTTAAGCTAAAAGTTTTATATAATCATCAAACAGTTTGTAGTTTTATTTTTTAAGTTATTTTTTTAGCTTTAGCTTAGAAGTAACTTTTAGTTTAAAAGAGAGAGAAAAATAGGCTCTTAAAAAGACTATCCCAAGGTAGTATCCCTCAGGAAACATTCTAAATCCCTTTTAAAGAGTCATACAAAAAATCTTTCAAATTAGCTAAGGATAAAAGCATTAAATGCTTCTTGGGTTCTCTGTTTTTCATTTAATACTTTCTTTTTAAAGTAATTAGCATGTTTTAAGTTGATTGTTTAGGAGGATTCATCATTTTATTGTGTAGAGACCCATCACGATAGATTATAAAGACCCCTAGTTATATACAAAAATAAAAACTATTTGTGTCTTTATTCAACAAGAGGAGAGAATTCTGATCCTTTAGCTTCACTCTATGCTCATTCTTCTCTCCTTTGTCCCTGAGGCACAACTTGGCACACAAAAAGTGATAAAACCCATATCAATAAACACTTAATTTTTAATCTATTATCATTTGAAGTTAATAATGCATACCATGATCCTTGGTGAATTCAATTTGCCTGTTTAGTTTTGTTTGTATATCTGATGGGTCTTTAATTAAATATTGCAGAAATTTTGCTTCCCATGCCATGGTCCATAAGAATGAAGATTGCACTTGGTGCTGCAAAGGGACTTGCATTTCTTCATGAAGCAGATAAACCTGTCATCTATCGTGATTTTAAGACATCAAATATTTTATTGGATCTGGTCAGTACAATTAAATATTTATGTCAACTTAAAATGAAAAGAAGAAGAAGAAATCATACCATTTCTTTTGGTGAATATATATATTGGGAGGTGAATTATATAATGTTTTTCATAATTTGCATCTTATTTAGTTTGAATTTAGCACATGGAGGGTAATTTTGACATAATGTAGGTTAGGTTTTATCAATCATGGATTCGTGGTAGCAGCTGATGATTCTTCTTTGGAATGACTTAATGGAACTTGATGCATTTTTTCTGATATGTTTGTACTAATAATATTTGTGCATTGTTTTAGTTATTTCCCATTTCTGCTTAAGCAATCCTGCACTGACTTACAGACAAAACAATATGTCTCACAAGATCAGAACACATTTTGTAACATCTGAAGTTAGATTTCAGGTGTTGAAGCAGAGAGCACAATGTCTACACAATACACATGCCTGATTTTTGCATAAATATTAGTTTCCACTCTTGTACTGAAAAAGACTACAATGTTTCCAAAATAAGCCAGCTTTTAACTTACCATCTTGTGTTTTTCACATGTTTCAAAAACAGGACTATAATGCAAAACTTTCTGACTTTGGCCTCGCTAAAGATGGACCGGTTGGAGATAAATCTCATGTTTCTACTCGAATAATGGGAACATATGGGTATGCTGCACCTGAATACATAATGACTGGTAAAGTAACTCTTGAAGCTGGAATTTAGTACTCAATTATGCAAAACTACTCAATTTTAAGTGATATTTCAGTGAAACAAAGTTCATATTTCACTAGACATAAAAGCAATATTGGTTATCCTGGGGAAAAAGGGAAAAAGAAGTATAATTTTGTAGGAAAATTGTTAGGTTACGCTCAGGGTTGGCAAAACGGCCAACCCGACTCAACCCGACCCAACCCGCGTTCAACCTGAAAAAAACGAGTCAGGTTAGGGTTGACTCGAAAAATAAACGAGCCAGAAAACTCAATCCAACCCGACCCGAGTCGGGTTAGGGTTGGCTCGCGGGTTGGCTCAAAAAAATGAAAAATAAAATAAAATTTCATTGATGCTATAACTTTTAAATTTTTTCCCTAAATTAATAATTCATTCAATACAAAGACATTCTACAGGTAAACCATAGAAAATTTTGCATTTGGACTTGGACTTATTGGCAATTGGCACCACATTCACACTGTCACAGATACTATAAAAAAGGTTCTTAATGCACGGTTTTGGACTTATTGGCAGCTGCAGGGTATTTTTGTTTGGGTCTTTGGAATTGGAATTTTAAGTTTTAGCTTTCCACTTTACCTTCATTAATTTTTATACTTTTATATTAAAAAAAATAACCATAACCCGCGAGCCAACCCATTTGACCCGTTGGTTGGCTCGATTTTTTTTCAAGCTAAAACGAGTCGGGCTGACTCGAGTTACTAACTCATTTTCCCTAACCCAACCCGGCTTGAGCTGGGTTACGAGCCAACCCGATGGTTTGACTCATTTTTGCCAAGCCTAGTTACGCTATATCCCACCATCTCTATCTCTATAACATAACCTAATAATTTTCCTACAAAATTATATTTCAAGCTGCTTGAGATAAATATAAGGGAAATAAATAAATAAAATAACGTAATTTTGGGTGGTCGGAGATAAATATATCTCAAGCTGCTTGAGAAATATTTTTCTCATATATATATATATAGTTACTAATATCATGTTGCTTGAGATAATACTCTCATATTGGTGAGACAAATATATGGGGTCCATAATTTAAAAAGAAAAAGAAAAAATTAGCACAAAATTCAATAGATGTATAGTATAAGATAATTTATCTCCAACAATATAAGACAAATATTTTTCATATATATACGAATGTATTTATAAATTGATATCGTAGTTATCTATTGTGCAGGTCATCTTACCCCTAGAAGTGATGTTTACAGTTTTGGTGTTGTACTTCTTGAACTTATCACTGGAAGAAAATCTTTAGACAAGTTAAAACCTGCTAGAGAGCAGAACCTTACAGAATGGGCTCTTCCTTTGCTGAAGGAAAAGAAAAAAGTTCTAAATATTATAGATCCAAGGCTTGAAGGTGATTATCCAGTGAAAGGAGTTCACAAGGCTGCAATGCTTGCATATCATTGCTTGAACCGCAATCCAAAAGCAAGGCCTCTAATGCGAGATGTTGTTGATTCATTGGAGCCTTTGCAGGCACACAATGAGGTCTCTATTGAAAAAACATTGACCATAATCAGTGAGGTTCCCCAAGATGATTTGAAAAGGAAAGATGCTGAATGATTGAAAGATGATATTGTTTTGATTATCAGTTTTCTTTCCCATGTTCATATATGGAGATGTTTTTCCTTGACTTCTTGTGTTTATTAACATGAAATATAGGCAATTTCTTTGTATTGTAATCCCTCTTTTTGCTTTTCAACGTGTTTGTTATTTACAATTGGATTGATGTATGAACTAATATCAATTTAAATAGAAACAAACAAGCAATAGCAGCAAAACAAGATATTTTATTAGGCGTCCTTCTGTTTTATTTAAAACTAATATCTATCCAATAAATTAAGAGAAAGCAGTTCTTTATTTATCCCTTTTTTTTTTTAGCCAAAAAGTTTTGAAAATATCCCTATTTTATCTAAGGCTTTAATGTTTTTAAAGTGAATGTAGATAAATTATCTATATTCACTCCCAAAATGACGTCATTTTGGATTGAAAAATTATAATGAAACAGACTATTATAACTCTGAAATAAATTATAATTACAAAAATATCTTGATTTTTGTCTGAAAACGACGTCGTTTTAGACTCAATATAGATAAATTATCTACATTAACTGTAGAAAAAGTGAACTTTGTCTAAATATGTCTTGGAAAAAATAATAAAGAGCACCGGAAGCTAGCGTGGAAAAGCGAAATATGAACATGCATATTACGAATTTCAATTACACAAAATTTTTGCGTACTTTTTCCACTTGGCAATTCATGTCAATAGTGTTGAGAAATTCGTTCCCTCAAACTCCAATGTCAAGCGGGTCCAGGAGAAGCCCGTGGCGGGGAACCACCACCAATGAGCTAAAGCTACACCAACCGTAGCAAGTGGATCCGACACCATGTCTCAACCCAAAACCTTAAGGCATTGGGTTCATGGGTCCTTTCACTTATATACTCTTCACTTAGCTTATTACCAACCAATGTGGGACTCATCACACTTGAATATCTCAACAATCTCCCCCTCAAGTGTGAAACCACCATTGGTATGCTCCCCCTCAATCGAGTACCCGAAGCACAAAGTATTCGACCCGTCTCCTAGCCAATCACTAGGCTAGCTCGAGCCCAATCCGGCTCTGATACCACTGTTGGAAAAACTCAGTTCCCTCAGATCGGCTCAGAGGCCTTTTGTGCGGAAGTCAATCAACAAGATCCTAATCTTGGATCTCGGCAATACCTCGGCCTGAACTTCACCAGGTCGGGTAGCGCAGCGGAAAATCAAAACGAAAACAGGAGAGAGAGAAGAAGAACACAACCAGATTTAACGTGGGAAAGCCTTCTTCAATGAAGAAGTAAAAACCCACGGGACCTAGTCCAGATCAAAAATCCACTATGAAAATAATGGTTATAAAGAATCAAATACACCAATGTGGTGGTTAACTCAACCTCTCCAACAATGGTGATAATCAAACTACCCTAGAGATGTTTCACTCAAACTCTCTCTAGAGATCTCTCAAATACAAAGCATAAAGCTTTACTCAAACAATCAAATAATTTTCCTCTCAAATTTGTTCTCTCAAATCTGACCTAGCCTCCACCCACAGCTAATGAGTATATATAGAGGAGGTGGAAATTAGGGTTAGGGTTTTTTGGAAACCCCTCAAATGGGCTTGGGCTTAGCATTGAAGGAGGAAGCCCAACAAATCTCCACCTCGATAAGAGGAGAAAAAACCTTTGTGTGGAGTAACGTGGAAGGAGGCACCGGAGTCAACAATCCAGGTGCAGTCATCATATGCAACATTTAAATAATTATCCTCACCAAGAAGGAATATCTCGGCATTAGGGTTGGCAGCCACCGCAGTGGTGCTCTTGTCTTCCCTCTTCTTGGGAACAATCTGATCCGGCTTCACAGAGTCGTTCTTCTCATCATTCTGCAGGGTCCAGCAGTCTGGCTTCTTATGACCTGTCTTTCCACAGTAAAAGCACTTCAACTCATATTTCGGCTTTGACCGACCTCTGGACTTATCTCGTCTTTCACGACCTCTACCGCGACTCTTTCTTCTACCACGGGAGTCAGATTTCCCTTTGTTCTCAGCAATGTTGGCCTCAGACGTACTCGAAGTACCTCGTTCTCTTCTCTTGGATTCTTCGCTTAGGAGGCTGTCTGTCACGACATCCATCTTCAATTTTCCATCTGGAGTCGAGTTATTCAAGGTCACCACTAGAGTATCCCAGCTTTCTGGCAGCGAGCTCAACAACAGCAATGCCTGCAATTCTTCTTCATTTTTCATATCAGCCTTTGACAGCTGATTCACAATACCTTTGTAGGTGTTCAGATGTTCAATCATGCTCATGTCGTCCTTGTATTCAAGCTTAACAAGTCGGCGAACCAGGTGTGCTTTGTTCCTGGGAGTCTTCTTCTGAATCATGGACTCTAATTTCGTCCACAACTCATACGCGTTCGTGAATTCGGACACGTGCTCAAAGAGGCTTTTATCTTGGTTCGCCGAGATGTGAGTTCGGGTTCCGACTTTGGGATCCAATCAATAAGAAGATAGTGAGAAGCCGAGATGTGATCTTTCATGAGCATGAGAACATTCATGACATCTCGAAGCCCAAAGTCCGGGTTACTGTCAGACATGAAGAACCCGTCCCTCCTGTCCGAGCTGAAGCAGGGGGAGAAAATCAAGAGAATGAAGAAATTGATGACCAACAACAAGCTGAAGATGACCAAGACATTGAGGTCCGAGTTGATGACGAGATCCGGGATGAAAATGATGAACCGGGTCCTCAAGCTGAAGAACAACCGAGATATCCAACTCGAGAAAGAAGACCCTCTACGAGATACCCATCTGATGAATACACCGTTGTTGCTGAAGACGGTGAGCCTCAGAGTTATGATGAGGCTGTGACGAGCTCAGAGAAAGAAGAATGGGAAAAGGCAATGCAAGACGAGATGAAGTCTCTGCACGAGAATCAGACTTATGAGCTGACTGAGTTGCCAAAAGGAAGACGAGCTTTGAAAAATAAATGGGTCTACAAGATTAAGAATGAAGAGAACGAGCAAAAGCCGAGATACAAAGCCTGGATTGTAGTGAAAGGCTGCAATCAGAAGAAAGGAGTTGATTTTGAGGAGATTTTTTCTCCTGTTGTGAAAATGACCTCGGTCCGAACCGTGTTAGCCATGGCGGCTTCAATGGACCTCGAGGTAGAACAAATGGACGTGAAGACGACATTTCTTCACGGTGACTTAGAAGAAGAAATATATATGAAGCAACCTGAAGGATTCCAAGCTCCAGACCAAGAAGACTTGGTATGTCGGTTGAAGAAGAGCCTCTATGGCTTGAAGCAAGCACCTCGGCAGTGGTACAAGAAGTTTAAATCATTCATGACTGATCATAAGTTTGAAAAGACAGATGCCGACCACTGCGTATTTGTGAAGAGGTATGAGGCCGGAGATTTTCTGATTTTGTTGTTATATGTTGACGACATGCTTATTGTAGGGAAAGATAAATCGAGGATAGCCGCCCTGAAAAAGGCGTTGAGCTCGTCCTTCGCAATGAAGGACCTCGGCCCTGCAAAACAAATACTCGGAATCAAGATTATCCGAGATAGACAGAAGAAGCTATTGTGGCTGAGTCAAGAGAAATATATTGAGAAGATTTTGAAGAGATTCAGCATGGACAAAGCCAAAACAGTGAGCACCCCTCTAGCCGGACACATAAAGCTGAACCAAAAGCAATGTCCGAGATCTGATGAAGACAAAGATGAGATGATGAAGGTCCCTTACCAATCCGCCGTCGGAAGCTTGATGTATGCAATGGTTTGCACTAGACCCGACTTGGCGTATGCTGTAGGAATGGTAAGCCGGTATTTGTCAAACCATGGCAAAGAGCACTGGGAAGCAGTGAAGTGGATCTTCAAGTACCTCCGAGGTACGACAGACTTATGTCTCCGATTTGGAGAAGGCAAAGCCGAGTTGCAAGGCTACTCGGATTCTTATTTAGGGGGAGATTTCGACTCGAGGAAGTCGACTACAGGATACATGATGAGATTTGCCGGATGAGTTGTCTCTTGGAAATCAAGACTTCAGAAATGTGTTGCACTATCTACAACTGAGGCTGAGTACATTGCCGCTACTGAGGCAAGCAAAGAGATGTTGTGGATGAAGAAGTTCCTCATGGAACTCGGCCATGATCAAGACAAGTACGAGCTGGGTTGTGACAATCAAAGCGCAATCCATCTTGCAAAGAATTCAACCTATCACTCCCGCACTAAACATATTGATGTGAGGTATCACTGGATCCGGGATGTGGTGGAAGGTGGAGAGCTCGAACTCGTCAAAGTGCACACTGACCAAAATTGGTCCGACATGATGACAAAGCCGGTTCCAGCAAGAAAATTTGAAGACTGTTGTGAAGGAGCCGGGTTGATGCTGAAGCTGACGCATTGAAGTCGGAGGGGGAGATTTGTTAGGCTTCCTCCTTCAATGCTAAGCCCAAGCCCATTTGAGGGGTTTCCTAAAAACCCTAACCCTAATTTCCACCTCCTCTATATATACTCATTAGTTGTCGTGGAGGCTAGGTTAGATTTGAGAGAACAAATTTGAGAGGAAAATTATTTGATTGTTTGAGTAAAGCTTTATGCTTTGTATTTGAGAGATCTCTAGAGAGAGTTTGAGTGAAACATCTCTAGGGTAGTTTGATTATCACTATTGTTGGAGAGGTTGAGTTAACCACCACATTGGTGTATTTGATTCTTTGTAACCATTATTTTCATAGTGGATTTTTGATCTGGACTAGGTCCCGTGGGTTTTTACTTCTTCATTGAAGAAAGTTTTCCCACGTTAAATCTGGTTGTGTTCTTCTTCTCTCTCCTGTTTTCGTTTTGATTTTTCGCTGCGCTACCCGACCTGGTGAAGTTCAGGCCGAAGTATTGCCGAGATCCGAGATCAGGATCTTGTTGATTGACTTCCGCACAAAAAGCCCCTGAGCCGATCTGAGTGAACTGAGTTTTCCCAACAAATAAGTGGTGTTTATATCGAGTTAAGGTTTAATACAAATAATCAGTTGGTCGAAAATATAACTAGTTATAAAAAGATTAAGTAATATGAATTTTTTTTATATTAATTTTTAGTCTAACATGAATACCACACGAACGTAAATAAATGTCAACTAAATACAAAAATATCATATCGTGAGTTTGTGAGTAGTTTATGTAGGGAATATACCTACCTAATATTCTAATGGTTCGGCAGGCTCATGCATGTTTAAGAGAATTGATAATTGATTTTATTTATCAAACAACCATAAACAATAATGGCAAACATTAAAAATGATATATTTTTGTGTCATTTAAAATGAAAAATATTTTTCCCAACAACAAAATAATAACATTCTTCTAAACAAAATTTTTGCATTCAAACTTTATTAAAATTCCAAATAACAATTTCACCTAGTTATCAAATTTTTTGCATTCTTCTGAACATAATATTTGTTCATAATATTAATAATTAAGAATGTAATTAAGAATTTATTAGAATAATAGCATATTTAACAATTAATAATTTACATTATTTTTAAGAAAATATTACTATGTAATAATATAAGGAGAATGATCCGTTTATAAATTTTTTTTACACTCTTAATTAAAATATTACCGATCAGACATAATATAATTTGTAAGAATTTATAAATACAAAATTTATAAATATGACTTTTTCAATATAATATAAATGTAAAGGGTTATGTTTATCTCATTTTACATGAGATAAACAATTTTTCTACACATAAAAAAAAGTATTGAATCTCAGTACTCTTTTTTCTCTCTTTTCTTATACGTGAATCTCACTTATAATTTTATTTCTACCTAATAAAATAACTTTTTCCTACTAAGAAAAGTATTTACCAAATGTAAATTGACAGAACTTTCTTATTCCAACATAGGTTTTTACTCCTTTTTTTTCCTAATCGGAATTGATAGAAAAAGTACACATGGCAACATACTAGTGAACTGAATGGATGGTGTGTTGTTCAGAACCACTTCAGCAATCTACATTCACAACCTCTCATCCTAAACCTCTAGGCTCTAACTGTTAACTAAGCACAAAGTGCAAACATCAAGAGATGCTGCTCTCTCACCACTCTTCTTTCCACAACTCAAGAACTCATAGAGCTCAAAACTGAAACTATCAGACCTCAAAGTTTTAACCATAACCATGTCATTATCTGCCACCACAAGTGGTCACTCATCTCTTTACTCTGCACTTACATTCCCAACAACCACCCAAATACACTCTAAGCAAAACCCAACCTTGTTTTCTCCCACCACCAGGTTCTTTTCTTCCAGAAACCACTCATATTCAGGTGTTTCTTATAGTTTCTCAAACACCCTTTTGTCAAGACCATTCCTTTTTGTGGTTAAAGCTTCATCTGAGATTGGATCAGAAGCATCCAAACAGGAGAGTGACAAGAGTGAAGGAGAAGAGGAGCCTTATGAAGAGTATGAGGTAGAATTGGATCAGCCTTATGGGCTCAGATTTGTAAAGGGTAGGGATGGTGGAACTTACATTGATGCTATTGCACCAGGAGGATCAGCTGACAAGGCTGGACTGTTCACTGTTGGGGATAAAGTACTTGCCACTAGGTGTGCTCTTCATATTTTTTCTTTCTTGCAAGTTTTTCTTGGGAAATTAGATGGAAAGTTTATAGATATGGTATGACTTTGAGATTAGTACACTAGTATTTCATACTCAAGATAGTTTAATTGGAGGCCTTATTATGGTTGTATATGCATTACATTAAAAATCTAGTGATGAATCACTTAATTTGAATATGATTTTAGTGCAAATCCCGGTGCACAAGCCTCCCTGACTTGTTTGGGCGGAAGGTAAAGGTGAGGGTTGATTTTACGTAACCTTATTCTTGGCATTTTTGCAAATAAGTTGTTTTCATACTCGAACCTGTGATATTTCTATCACGAGGAGCAACCTTACCATTGCTCCAAGGCTCACCCTTGAGTACTTCACAATATTTTAGGCATATGATAATAACTCAGGTTTCTGTGTGGTCAAGAAATTATCATATGTATATTATATGGGTTGTATTTTATATGGACTAACTTCAAAATTCTTTTGAAAAGTAATAGTATATACTTTATGTTTTGATTCATAATGTTTGAGTTGTTGAGATATGCCCAAAATGTTCAATATCTGCAGTGCAGTTTTTGGGACTGAAATTTGGCCTGCTGCGGAATATGGAAGGACAATGTACACAATTCGTCAAAGAATTGGTCCATTACTCATGAGAATGCAGAAGAGATACGGTTAGTTCATTATGCATGCATTTTGCAAGTGGTAGTCCAGTCACTTGTGAACTTTGCTTGCTGTTCCCTGAGCAATGGTTTCTTTTTTTGACAGGGAAGATAGAGACTGGTGGTGAGTTAACTGAAAGGGAGATTATCAGAGCTGAGAGGAACTCAGGTGTAATCAGTGATAGAGTGAGGGAAATTCAAGTAAGTTTCATGATGTTAAAACTGCAAAACTATAATTCTTAAATTTTCTATCCTTTTTATGTAAGATATTTTCTCTTCTATAGAAAGATGTTACTTCTGTACTTCCATATGGGGTACAACCACTTTCGTTCCTCAAACTTGCGAAAATTTCAGATGCAAAACTCCATGAGGAAAAGGGAACTGAAAGAGCGCAGAGAAAGGGATTTGAGAGAAGGATTACTACTCTATAAGTAAGACTTGGTGACTAAAAATCATTTTCTTTCTGACCCTATTTTGTCTAGTTTTCTTTTTTTTCCTTCATTTATCTAGCCCTTAACATTTCATAGTGCCAAATATATTCTTCTCTTCCAAAGTGATGAATTGCAACTCTTGTCTCAAATTGTAATTTCACGGATGCCATTATATCTAAAACTAAGGGACTAAGAAGAGTTGATGCTATCTCCCTGATATTCTTTCTTACTGAGCACTCTCTGTTCTTTTGGATTAAATGCTGAAGGAATGCCAAATATGAGGAAGCACTTGAGAAATTCGAGTCTGTTTTGGGATCAAAGCCAGAACCTGAGGAGGCGGCAGTTGCTAGTTACAATGTTGCTTGTTGTTACTCTAAGCTAAATCAGGTATCTGTTTGTTCAAATTACAAATTACATGTTGCTGCCTTTCACTACTTCAAACATAACAATTTGGTCTTGGTTTACACTTGTTGAGTGAATTTAGTCACTGTATTATTACTTGCTGAATTGATTTAATCCTAATACATATATGGGGGTGACTAATTGGTCCAAGAATGTAAAAGTTTATCAGTACTTAGTATGCATAACCTAGGGACCAAATGATATGTCATGGGACTGGATCCAGTTATCAAACTGGTTAACAATGTCCTAAAACATCTGATATTTTGTTTTATATCTGCGCTATGCTAGGTGGTACGCTGAAGTACCATTGACCATTGACCAATCCTAAATAAAACCTGTTGTTTCATATCAAAATTTCACATGACTATATGCTCGACTTGAGATTAGTCTCATACCTGTGCAAGCTCCTTTCCTTGTCCGGGTTGTAGGAATACTCGGGAGACTTGACTTGCTTCAAAAAGGTAATTAGGGTCATGGAATCCAAAAAAAAAATTCACATTACCTTATCATGTGAAAATTCTATCCTTCATAGATATTCACATATTTTGACAGGGCAATGTGTATGAAAAGAGGGATAGATACAAAATTTTCACAGAAGGTCATGTCAAATTTTAACACAAAATACTTTTCCCAACTTTTTTTAAAACAAAAGAATAAATATTCTTGTTGCTATGTGTTTGTATGTATTGTGTGCCCATATTTATACTAATATAAGGATAATATTCTTTTTTGTTAATCCATTATTCTTGTCAACAAAGGATCCCATCATTCTATGCATTTACCTTTCTAATTATATACTAATAAAAACCAGATTCAAGCTGCACTTTCTTCGCTCGAAGAAGCTCTGGATGCTGGTTTTGAAGACTTTAAGGTGATCAATCTACTGCAAGTTATATTATCACATTTCACTAAGCCATCTAACATTGTTGTTGTTTAAACAGAGAATCAGAACTGATCCTGACCTGGCCAACGTAAGGGCGTCAGAGGAATTTGATCCACTAATGAAAAGATTCGATGAATCATTTATCAATGAGAATGCCATCAATGCCATTAAATCTCTTTTTGGCTTATTTGATAAGAAATAACCCATTGTGCGGACATAAAGTTTAGCTGACTAAGGAGTTGTTTGAGCAATAATGCAATATGATAATACCATGTCATTTTATTTCTCATGTATAAATTTATAGTTGATCCCCTTCAATGGGATGTTGTTTTATATACTTAGTATAATCAAGCTAAATTATAACAAGAGCTTACTATCAATAAAATTGTCCATTTGCAACAACAATAACCCCCAAATTAATATATCCGCTATTGGCATTAGGAGTGTGCAAAAAAACTGGTTCACTTGCCCTTGATCCGACCTTGATTTAACCCATAAATACCTATATTTTTTGAACTGGTTTAAATACTGACTCACTTTTATTTGGGTCAGTTTTAGACCTGACTTGTTTTAATATTGACTGATTGACCCAAAACTTGATTCATACACATAATGTGAAAAAAAAAGAAAATCACAATTACATTAAAAGAAAAGTTTTAACGTAAAACAATTACGTCAAAAGTTTTTACGAAAAATATTTTCATAAAACATATTCGCAAAATTTTTTGACGAAAAATATTTTCCTCAAAATTTGTGACTAAAAAAATTTGACGGAATATATTTTTTGTCAAATTTTTTTTACGGAATCTAAATTTCGTCAAAAATATTTCAATAAAATATATTCATCAAAAATTTCGACGAAGCACATTTCCATCGAAATTTTTTGACGGAAAAAAATTTCATCAAAACTCTTTACAGATTTCGATTTTCGGCAAAAGTTTTCGACGGAAACATTTTCATTAAACTTTTTGACAAAAAAAAATTTCGTCGAAATTTTTTGCGAAACACATTTCTATCGAAAATTTTTGACTGAATATTTTGTCAAGTTTTTTGATAAAAAATGTTTTCATCAAAATTTTCAACGTAACATATTTCTGTTAAATAATTTCGTAAAAATTTTTGACAAAAAATATTTCGATAAAAATTTTGACGGAAAAAATATTTTGTCAAAATTCTTTAGAGAATCTAAATTTCGTCGAAAGTTTCGAATGAAACATTTCCCGCAAAACAATTTCCATCGAAAATTTGGACGAAAAACATTTCCATCAAAAAAATTTGACGGAAAAAAATTTCATCAAAATTCTTTACAGATTTCAAATTTCGGCGAAAATTTTCGTTAAACTTTTTGACAAAAAAAAATTTTCGTCGAAATTTTTAGCGAAACACATTTCCATCAAAAAATTTCAACTAAATATTTTCGTCAAGTTTTTTGATAAAAAATATTTTCATCAAAAAATTTTACGAAACACATTTTTGTAAAAAAAAAATTTCCATAAAAAAATTTGACGAAAAATATATTCTGTCAAAATTCTTTAGAGAATTTAAATTTCGTCGAAAGTTACGAATGAAACAATTTTCTCGAAATAATTTCCGTTGAAATTTTCGTCAGAACACATTCCCATCGAAATTTTGAACGAAAAACATTCCGTCAAATTTTTTGATAAAAATTTTTTTCGTTTAAAACATTTGATGGAAGAAATCATTTTCGTCAAAACTTTTGACGAAAATTAAATTTCGATAGAAAATTTATTTTTGTAAAAATTTTCATTACAGAAAAAATTTCGTTGCTTTTCAACAAAAAGTATTCCGACGAAAAAATAATTTTGTGACGAAATTCTCGTCATTTGCAATGTAGAAATTTCGACAAAATTTTGTGAGGAAACCAAGTCAAAAACGGGTCAGGTCATATTTGACCCACTTCAGAAACCAAGTCAGGTCAAATCCGATCCAGTTCTGAACTAGTTCAACAAAATCCAAACCAAGTCAAACCTGACTTGGATCAAATTAAAGCAGGTCGGGTCAAAATATCAGACCTATAAAAACCAAGTTGGGTCGAGTCAGACAAAAACCTGACCCACGCACAGCCCTAATTGGCATGTTATGTTAACAGTGAATTGAATTAACGTCAAGAACCAATTGTTCGTAAATTCAAAACCTTTTTTTTTATTAGAACAAGGGGAAAATGTGTATCATTTTTTTTTTTTTTGATAACATAAATGTGTATCATTTTAAAGTATGTAAAGTTGTGTCATTTTAAGTGAGAGAAAGAGATAGATAAAGGAGGAGAGAGAGTGGACAAAAAAATATAAAGGTGTGGGTCCTACCTCTTTGTGAGAGTGAAAGGATATAAGTTGTGTCATTTAAAAGGATAAACACTTTTCTCTTAGAACAATGTTGGCGGCAACAATCAAATTCTAGATAACTTGGCCATAAGCTCTATTATTATAACACACAATCAATTCTCTAAAAAAATTAAGTTGGTAAAGACATGTATTATTTTATTTTAGGCTTTAATGTTTCTATAGTGAATGTAGATAAGTTATCTACATTCACTTCCAAAACGACGTCGTTTTGAGGTGAAAGATTAAAAAATTATAATAAGAAAGATTGTTATAACCTTGAAATAAATTATAATTACAAATATACTTTGATTTTCGTCCCAAAACGACGTTATTTTGGGCTCAATATAAATAACTTACATACGTTGACTGCCGAAAAAATTGAACCCTTTATTTTATCTCCTAACAAATAACTAGAATTTGTTCATTTTATCGGGAGTTGTGTGTTTGTTTGGATAAAGTTCATGTGATGTTTATTGTGGTGATGCCATGGATATTAGAGTTTGTTTGATTATCTCCCATGGTGAAATTCTAAGCAATGCATGATTAGTGAAGTGATTAGGTTTAGGTAATCTTTAGATTTCTTTTAGCCTTATAAGCCTATCCTTAAATTAATATCCTTAGAACCCCTTGAAACCTTATGTATGTTTCGGCCTGAATTTCTTTCATTTACTCCCATCATCCATACCTGTTTTATCTTAATGCAGTAATCCATCATACATTTCTTGAAAATATGGATCATGGCATAGATTAGTTTGTTAATAAGTACATAAAAATATGGAAAAATTTACAAAGGAACCAAAAGAAAAGGAGGAAAAAAGCAGAGACAATGAAGAAAACCATTGCCTTTCCCTCGTGCAAGTCGTTTGCAGACAAAATTTTTGTCTCTTATTCTTACTTTAGGACTTGAATTTCAATGACTAATCATTTGTCTATTTTATTGCAACCACAAACATCTTCATAAAAGCTAACATCCAGAAAGCATTATGTACGTTGAGTACAAAACAAAATAATCCAAGTTTTAATGAAACCAGTACTTTGTAGAACTCAAATTCAAATGTAGCATTTTACTATAAGATGCCAACTTAGAAAGCTTCTAATCAATGTACTATGCTTACGGAGAATGCATTTGGCTAGAAATTATGAGGTTGAAGTCGAATTGGAAGTCCTTTTGCTGGTTCTAGCATGGGATCATATAGAAACTTCTCATCAGGAATCACTAAATCCCACTTGAACCGTTTCACGATATTATGCATGAACACAAGTATCTCTAGCCGAGCAAACTCTTGCCCCAAACATATTCGAGGTCCCCCTCCAAATGGAACGTATGAATAGGGTATAGGCCCTGCTCCTTCAAACCTTGAAGGATCAAAATTTTCAGGATTCAAGAAGAGTGTTGGATCCATGTGTGTTGAACCAATATTCCAATGCAACTGTCAAAAAAAAAAAAAACACACATATGTTTTAGAAGATATGATGACATGATAAACATTGTACAAAATTATTTCATTTTAGCATGCATGCAATTGTTTTACTGGTGTTATATCTGCAAAGAAGCATTGCCTCACAGATTCTTTTATCACTAACAATCAGCAATATTAAATCTCCAAAAAAAAAAAAAACTAAGAAAGCTTTTTTGTCTAATGTAACATAAGATACCTCAAGTAATTCATGGAAACAAGGACAGCAATAAAGATATAAAAAAGATTCAAAAGGTTGAAATGAGATTAAACTATAAACGTCAAACAATAAGTGGCTTGATTTACAGTTCTTGGTTAATGCAAGAAAAGAAGACTAATAATTGACAGTAGTAGGATGGCAAAATGTTTGAAGTATAGATCGTAACTACTAGTCTCTTTAGCCTTGGGGTCAAGCATGTCATACTAGAAGCTTAATGATACATCTGAAAATACAAATTTGATGCATGATGAAGTAAAAATTACAGATGAGGTGGCATTTGGTTATTTGCAATCATGAACAAGAGATACTCCAATTCACAAGTATTAGAGAATAATATAAATCATTAAAAAGGCTCTCATCCAACACCTTAAGGTTTTGCATTGAAATGGTTCTTTACATGGTATCATAGCTTCAGTAACCATAAGGTCACGAGTTCGATCTCCACCGCCCTCACTTGTGAAATTAAATAAGCATAAGGTAAAATCAAAAAAATTGAGCCTATGCAATATCCACGCTTCAAGCCCAAAGGACTCTTGCGTGAGGGGGTATTTTAAAGAATAATATAAATCATTAAAAAGACCCTCATCCAACACCCTAAGGTTTTGGATTGGAATGGTTCTTTAGAAAATGATTCCAATGAATGCAGAGTGAAGAGAGCACGGTAAAAGTTTAACAAAGCTTTTCAAAAAAAATGAAACATACCTTCCACCCTTTAGGGATGTTATAATCAGCATAGGTGAAATCCTTTATGGCTTCTCTGTAAGCACCACTCACTGGGGGTGATAGTCTCATGACTTCAGATGCAACATTCCAAGAGTATTTCATTTTCTGAACATCCTGCCATTCCAACAAATTCCCTGCCTCTTTCCCTTGGCTGATTTCAAGTTGTTCTGTCATAAAGATAACTTCCACATTTATCCTGATCAAGTTTTAGGTAAGAGTATTGCAGAAAAATAAACATGTTCAAGGATTTTATAGCAAACCTTTCAACACATGTTCATAAACTTCTGGCAACTGCCCAAGATACTTCATGATGGATGATAACGCTGATCTAGAAGTATCATTGCCAGCAAAAAGCAGTAATAGTATGTTATCAATAATCTCCGTTTCGGTCAGAAACCTTCCACTAGGGTCAGGTGTAACAAGCAAATGTGATACAAGGTCTTGGGTAGGTAACACCCTCTTCTCTTCCAAATCCACTTTCCTTTTCTTCAGAATCATTTTAATTTCTTTCCTTATTTCATTTGCAGCTTTCATTGCCCTATAAAACCTTGTTCCAGGCAAGTTGATGGGGAATCCAATTATCCCTTTCAGAAATTCATCAAATTTTGAGGAAAGCTTTGACACAAGGATAGAGTCTTCAATGCTTAAAAATAAGCAACAAGCCAATTTAAACGTGTATAGCTGTACTATGGGATAGACATGCACCTGCTCCTTTCCTTCAAATTTGTAAAGTAACAAAAGTATAAAATTATTGATAGAATCTTGGGATACATTAGTTGCACATACAACTAATGTGGGACTATATATCTCAACACGCCCCCTCACACAAGAGCCCATTGGGCTTGAAGAGTGGACAATGTAACAGGCCCAACCTACCTGTGCTAAGAAACGCCACAAGAGAAAGTGGGGGGCGGCGAGGCTCTGATACCATGTAAAGAACCTTGGGATACACCACCCAAAAAGCTAGCTCAAAAGGTGGGAGTGTCCAAGGCCTTATAAAGGCCATATTAGTTGCCCACACAATCAATGTGGGACTATATATCTCAACACACCCCCTCACACAAGAGCTCATTGGGCTTGAAGAGTGGACAATGCAACCTGTGCTAAGAAACTCCACAAGAGAAAGTGGGGGACGGCGAGGCTCTGATACCATGTAAAGAATCTTGGGATACACCACTCCAAAAGCTAGCTCAAAGGGTGGGAGTGCCCAAGGCCTTATAAAGGCCACATTAATTGCTTATACAACTAATGTGGAACTATATATCTCAACAAGTTTTTCTTTTGATTTCTAACTAATAACCAATCTTATGAATCAAAACAAAATAACTCAGTCAATCAACACTGTTTCATAAGCTTGTAAAACAGGTGTCCCTCATAAGACTAGTTACAATCTAAAAGATCATTCATATGATAATTTCTTTATTTCATATGACCCACTTGTTTCACGTTTGAGCAGTTTTGTTTTTTACATTTCTTACCTTCCCAATGTGTGCTTATATGGCGCTGAGCAATGCTATCCATTTTTGGCAGCCAATTTCTGAGTGCTTCAGGATTAAGAAACCCCATGAGTAACTTTTTTGTCATCTTTGCTTCATCACCAACCTTCATAACAAGAGACAACCTTAACAGCTTCCTTATTGAGCTTGGCCACCATACTTGGACATTCTTGTTCTCATTGCTAAACAAGAACTTGTTCCCAGCTGGCCCACAAAACACAGCCATAGGGTCTCCAAGCATTGAAGTCTTGAACACCCTGGAGTCATATTTGTTCATTCTCTCTTGTATGAACCTAAATATGTTTCCCTCACGACCTGATCTCAAAAACTCAAAGGTTTCTCCAACAATAGGCCATCCGAAACTTCCCAGAGGAAGATGCAAGACTTGATGTTTTCTAAGTTTGACAGTTTTAGCTATGAAATGCAGACAAAGGACAAAGAGTGCCAAAACTGCTGGCAAAACTACAAGCTTGGCCACCTCCATAAGCTATGAAGTCCTTAGCTATTGATAAATGGCACAAAAGAGAGTGCAAAAGACAAGTCTGAGGTGTAAGATGAATGAAAGACAGAAGAGTTTGATGCTATATAAAAATCAGCAAGGAAAACTTGAAGAGGCCATAAACTTTGAAGTTCTATCGCATCTATTGTTTCCGTTTATATTCATCCTGATTAAAAAGCAAAATTGGTTTTACCTCCAATTAGAAATACATGAGAGTGACACTTCAATGTTGATATGATAAATTTCCTTGATGGCATTTTGAATAATGACCTATTTGGTATGGTCTTTATGTAAAAAGTCAATGTGATATCGAAGTGTATATTTGAAGGATTAAAATGAATATTTACTTCCCTCTTATGTTACTGGGAGATGTTACCGAAGTTGTATATGGATAGAACTCCAATCTCCAAGTGAAGCCAAAATGGGAGCAAGCACTAATTGTGTTAAGCATGAAGTTGACATTGACATTGACAAAGACTTAGTGGGGATGCATATGCCAGACAATGATAAAGGCACTTATCTCTTTGTTGGAAGAAGATATCTAGCATTGCAGTGTACCATTTGTGATGTGAAAATTTGCACGTGGCATTGCCATTTTTTTGGTAATGTGAAGACAAAATTATACGAATAAGGAAAGAGATGAAAAATCAAATTACTAATGTCATTATCACACTTAAAATTTTGGTATTATCAATTACTCAGGCATAAAACTCTCCCCAAAATAAAATGTATAAAGTTCACATGACGTTATCACACTTAAGAGTTTTAATTACTTCGTTATGCAACAATTAAATTACAAGTCCTATAAACACCAAAGTTTATCACCAAGCACGTGAATCAACTGGTATAAAAGATTTTTTCAGCTTAATTAGTACTTTCGAGTTTGAGTATCTAGGAACGTAGCTCTGTTAAAATTTGATAGAAGAACTTTGTCATCCATATAATTATATCTGGCTTGAATTGAACTAGTCGAGTAATCAACAAACTGATAAATAATATCCAAAAATATGTATATATAATGAAAGGTTCCTATGGCTCAATCCGATGATGATAACAAAACCTGTGGAAAGTGTCACACTATTGTTTGTGGTCTCTAGCTCCCTCTAATTCCATACCACACGTAAATTTTTGTCACATCCAAGACTTGATAACTTAACGTTACTTAAACATAACTCATTCCTTATTCTAATATTTTAAGACTTTTTACTGTGATTTGTTTCTAAGATATTGAGGTTGCTCTCAAGTCTCAATATTAGTGCGTTACTGTAGTTTTAAACATTAAAATTGCAAAAGATGCTCATCTTCTTGTCGATTGAGGTTTCTTACAACATGAATAATATACTGAATTTTTTCAATACAATGTTTCTGGAGCAGTTACAAAGAGTCAAATCATCCTTCAAGCCCAATTGGGTCTAGTCAAATAAGGCCGGTAAGAGATGAGTGCAGATTTGACCGCACATTAAATGGTGTCAGAGTTTGACAAGTTTTGTCTTCAAATTGCTCAACATTGAACTTTTATGTGGTTGACATTATCCAAGACAAATGGCATCGTATTTGACATCATCAATGTCACGGAATACGTTGGAGAAACCTTTACTCAAATCTCTATAGTCCATAGTCCATACATCCTCTTATCCTTTGTTTAATTTGGGAACTATGGAATACTTCTAAAAAAAAAAGAATCAAACAACTTGTGCTATTTAACGTTGATACGAATCTAATCACTCAAGTATAATTACATAAAATTATTAATGTAACCTTACTTAAAAGATTAAATTTTTGAGTTAAAATAATTCTTTACATGATTATATAAATATAAACGTTCTCTGGGTTGATAAATCATGATGAAGGATGAAAAAGAAGGGACCAGAAATCCATTATAAAAATCACGTGGAAATCCAAATAAAAGTAATACATGTAATAATTCAAGGCTATCTCAATGGATGGTTATTTTTCAATCGTATACAACTTCTGATATTCGAGAACCTTTGCCTTGCAATTGTTTGCATCCATGAATGCAAGCCTTTTGACAAGCTGAATCTGCTGCTAATGTTATATTCATGCATATGGGCATGCATTCTTCCAAACAAGTGGAAAAGGGTACCTTGCCACCATTATTGTTACCACCAGTTGAGTTTGCATCTGCATCTGCAGATACTACCACCACCACCACCAATGGCAGGTATAGAACCAACATCACTACCACACCCATGGATTTGTAAACCATTGTATTAGTTGTGTGCCAAAGAAAATGGAAATGTATCAAAATGCACATAAAAATGGAAAATTCCTGTAATGTGTGTGGTCAAAAATCCATTGGTTGACTTGTTCCAATGTGAGTTTAGGATTTTGTTTTCTAGAAAAAGAAATGCGCGTGCCCTGGGAAAATAATAAATTATAGCAAATCCATGCAAATATAGTACTCATTCTTTGAATAAACTTACTATGCCAAGATAGTGCTTATGATCAATTTAATCAATTTGAAATCAATGGTTAAAAATTAAAAAAAAAATTAATTGTTGATTTCAAAATTGATCAAATAGTAATCAATGAGGTAATAAAACTAAAATGATAAAATGTACGAACTTCGCTGCCAATATAATATGATTAGCTTAGTCAAAAACAAATAATATAATGAGCTGAATCCAATACTTAAAGGAAAAAATGTGTGTTATTTTTTAGGATATAAAGTTGTGTATATTTTAAGAGAGAGAAAGAGATAGACAAAGGAGGAGAGAGAGAGTTGACAAAAAAAAATAAAGGTGTGGGTCTCACCTCTTTGTGAGAGTAAAATGACAGAAGTTATGTCATTTAAAAAATAAACATTTTTCTCATACTTTAATGTTTTTGTTGAAAAAAAATTTATCATAATCACATAAAAGTAACTGAATTTTATTAATTTTTTCTCATTCTTCTTTTTTATAATAGAATTTTTATGTAAGTATGACAGAAAAATTGAGACACAACGCATTTCTCTTTATAATAGTGCCTTCACATGAACTTTTTTTCTTTATTTAATAATATAAGATATAGAGAAAATAATTTCTGCTTTAAAAATAGAAATCATTGTCTTTGTGTAGAGAGAGAAAGAAAAAAATCATTTGAAACACAAAATGATAGAGAGAGAAAATACAAAATTTATCGAACGTATGCTTTTGGAGCATAAGTCATTTAGGGTCAGTTTGGATGGATTTTTTTTCCTTCAAAAATTGCTTTTTTTAAAGGAAAAAAAGCCCTTTTCACTTTTCACTCGTTTGAATGTCTATTTTTTAAAAAAGCAGAAGTTACAAAAAAAAATCAAAAATCTACTTTTTTTAGAAGCTAAAAATTTTAGCTTCTAAAAAAAGCAGAAGTCAAAAGCTATATATTTTTTTCGAAAATTAAATATTTTTATAAAAATATAAATAACTTTAACTTTTGTAAAAAAACACTTTTAAAATAAAGAAAAGATAAAAGTTATTTTTTTTAAAAGCCCAAACAAATAGGCTAATATCTTGAACGACGTATCAATTGTAAATTGAGCACTAATAAATCATCAAAATAAAAAATACTCCCGCTAAAAAGTTCTATTTACTCCAATAATCAAAACTTTCGTAAAATTATTCAATAACTAATAATGAATATTGGCATCCCCCATTTTTGTTACCTGAAAAGGTCATAGAATGGGATGGGTACATGCACAACCATTGTATCACCAGCTACATTTTTGTGTGGAAGGAATACGCGTTTTTCTGCCTTGAGCCTTCACATATTAAAATTTTCATGACCAAATTAGTTTCAATTATGAAGAAAATAAAATATGTAATCTTGAATATTTAACCAAAAATAATGAATTTGGAAAGTGTTTTAATTTTTTAACCAGTAATTAATTCACATAACACTTGGAAAGGAAAAGGAGTGAAACCTACAAGAGAATTAGCTGGCAACTTTCAATTCGTGCGATTAAAGTGTGTCTGTATGTATAAAAAGTGAGAAAGTCAGAAGTAGGTTTTTCTAGAATTGATCTCTGTGTTCTGCTCTTGTGCTGATACTGCCAGAAAACCATATCTGGTGTTCAAATTTCTGGCTCGGATCTATTTTTTTATGTCACATGAAATAAAAGTTGTATGTGACAATATTTTCAAAAGTATTTTTATTTTTAGTCCGGGAAATAAAAATGATTAGAAGTGATTGATAAAATTAATTTATTTTTCTATTTCAGAGAATTAATCGATTGTCAAGAAATATAAATTGACAAAAATAATAAATAAATTTTTTTTTATTTCTTGACACATTATTTATTAAATACATACATTATAGAATATATTATCCAAGCACACATTATTTATTAAAAAAAGTATTTATTAAATACACACTTTCTTTGAACTTTGGGTATAGAAATAAGTTGTGTTAATGTACTAAAATAAAAAATAGGTTGTGATATCATTTTTATTTTTTTTGCCCAGAAACTTTTCTGGAGCACAAAAATAAAAAAATATTTTTTTCTAAAAGTAGTTTTGGAAAACATAATCATTGTTATGCACACTCAGAGTTATCTCCTCTACTTAGCTGAGTTATCTCCTCTAGGCATGATCAATTTACACGCGTGTAAATATAAGAATTCTTGCATTCAAGCTTAATCACTAATTTATTTGTATCTAATAATTCACATAACTAACAAATTAAACCTAATGTAAAATAATCTTGCCCCTCTACTGATGATAAATTAATAGTTACATTGAATGTGAAATGGCCCCCTTGAAATTGATTACTTATTTTCAATTAATAAAAAAAGTTTACTAAGAAATTATATTTATTTTTAAACTGAAAATTTATAGAAATAAACATGAAATTAAAAATAAAATAAAAAACACGTACACGACCAATATAAGATAACAAGTCAAGTCAATTTTATAAAATATGTGTTATACTTTAAGTTTAAATAATTAAGTTTATGTTTACCAACAAAAAATATATATATATAATTAAGTTTAGAAATACGTGATCAAGATAATATAAAAAGTCAAGCCAAATATGTTATACTTTTAAGTTTAGAAAAGGTCAAGTCAATTTTATAATTTTTATAATGTAATATTGATTTTCATTTCTATTTATAAATACACACTCTTATTTAATTTAAGAGATGAACTATATATTTAAAAATCATAAGAAAATTTCATAATTATTTTAGGGTTGGCTTTTTTTACAGTAAATATGAATAAGTTATCTATATTCGCTTTCCAAAACGTCGTCGTTTTGGTCGAAAAATTAAAAAAATTAGAAACATTAAAGCCATTATTTTAAATAATCATTTGTATTTCAAAAGTAAAATAAAATTAATTTTTTTGGCTCTTAAATTAAATTAATACTAAATACATTCTTATTTATTCATTTTAAAAATAAGCTGAAATATAATGATTATATGATTGTCATACATAAGATTTTCAGAACATTGGTTATATGCATAGAGTAACATATACCGGCGGCTTTAAAGTCTAAACCTTGATGATAGCATTCATCGATTATTACTTGGGAGGTGAAGAAGGGAATGGGATTATGAATAAAAAATTGAAGAGAGAGTGAAAGGAAAGGAAAATCAAAATCAGAATCAGAATCAAGAAAATGGTGTTGAACAGCATGATGGTGTTCACAGTGGCGCGTGTTTCTGCAGAAACATGGCAATGGGTAGCATGCACTGGTGACCCTCTGAGCAGTGATGAGATGTTGAATCTGCTTTGTTGCTTCCCTTTTCATCAACTGGGTCGTCTTGCTTTCTGTCTCTGCTCCTTCTTCTGCCTCCCTCAACTTGATTCCTATTACTCTTATATACCTTCTGCCTCTGATGATGATGATGATTCTTCCACCACCCTTGATTTTGATGACTTTTATTACCACTCCCATTCAGATTGAATGTAAATGTAAGTATTTTTCTCTCCTTTTTTATTCTGGGGTTTTCCTGTTTGGTTGAAAGTTTTTGACTTTAATTGAATTGGGTTGTTTTTGCTTTTGGAATTTGTGTAGTTGATTATTTTGGTTGTTGGGTCATCAGTGATTTATGGTTTGTTTGTTTGATTGATTGATTGATTCCATGAATTGGTTAGATTAGAGACATTTGGAATTTAACAAAAAATAAAAATGAATGGGGCTGTTGAGATCAAAACCCGTGATGATCAGGTGTATAAGGGTAATATATCATTTAGTGATTTATGATTATATTGATTTGAAAATGATGCTGGGTTAGAATATTTACTGTGATTCTTAACAACTTATGTGTGAATGGACTGACTCCCATTACCATTGAGGGTTGGCTAGCACTGACAAAAAAGGTCTTCTATTCTATTCCTGCCTGTGATCTTTAATTGGTAGGTCATCTCAAAATGCCACAGCAAGCCCTCACTGAGGTTTGTGTAATGCCCTGAGTCCCTGACCTTGGAATGGTGCAACCTCCTCTCCCCCAAAACTTATATATATAATGGTAAAAGTTTTAGTAAAATAGGAAAATTTTCAACTTTTGTTATTAACAATTAACACTTTAAGCTAAAAGAAATATGCTTGTCCTAAATTTCTTGTGATCACTTTGATAAAACGTGGTAGAGCTTTGATAATTGAATTTCTGAACTGGATATGATTGGGACATTTTGAAAATTTTAGTGTTTAGATTGTAACATCTCGAGCGCTGACGAGAGCGGGGAGTGATCGCTGGTGCGAAAGGGCACAGACAAAGAACGGCTCTTGGCATGCTTCCAACGGGGTACATGAATGAATCGAATCGACACCTGAAAGAAAGGGATTCCAAAGACTGTGCAGGAATGAGACTGCACAGTTGGGGATAGCTTATAAGAATTAATTGGTACTACCTATACTAAGCATCTACTTTTCGGTAGCCTGGAACGGAAGAACTCCATAGTTAAGCGTGCTTGACTTGGATCCATTCTGGGATGGGTGACCTCCTAAGAAGTTTTCCCAGGAAGTGTATGAGTCAGGATAAAGCACGCTCAAAAGTCCCGTGTTAGTGTGTAGGGATAGTCATTGATTCTTGAAGCGGTCGGGCGTTACATAGACATTCTGGTCTGATGAACTTTCATTTTACATATGTCCAAGTCCAGGCTTATTTTTTATGTGTTGATTTTAGAACTGAAAGGAAAACAATTTTTTTTATTATAATGAGTTCTAAAAATGACTTTACTTTTTAACGAGTATTAAAGCTATCAGAAAAGTACCTAAAGGAGAGCATATATCTTACAATTTGCCAATAACACACTAAAGAATGCAAAAACAATTAAAATGAACCCCACTCTGAAATTAGAAACGTCCTACAACTTGAAGAAGGATCCTGCAGAGCACATGCAGGATGCAGTTTTGGAGAAGAATAACAAATGAGTTTTTTTTTTCCAGTATCTCTGTTTGGGAAAATTATTAACTGCTAGCCTGACATACTACTTTATTGGCTTCTAAGGATGGATTCTACCCCTTATATATAAGTGGGTCAATTGACTCTGTTGTTTCTCACTTGCTCCATCCACTCTATTCATGAATCAATGTTTCTTATTTCATCCATCTTTGTCGTTTCTTTATTTCTATTTGCAAAGTGTTTCTTGGAATTATTATGTATTGCTTTCTTATAGTTTGGGATTTGCTATCATTTGGGATGAAAGGTTTTTACCCAGTTACCTTTACTTTCCTGTTTGGGAGGACCAAATCCTATATGAAGCTGCCTCCCAAATTGATGCATGTATTCCTTCTTAGTGTCAAATCTGATACAACAACAGTAGCAGCCTTTTCCCACAAGGTGGGGTCAGCTATATAGATCAAGCGGTATTATTGCGTTCACTCAAAAACCAAATCTTGAAAGAGGTCATTTAGAACTAAATTCTTTTTAATAGTTTCACTTGTAGTCTTTCTTGGTCTACCTTTACCTCTGATTTTTGAGCTATCCTCCTCCAGATCAAGTCTTCTAAATAGGGAAGCTATTGGTCGTCTTTTCACATGTCCAAACCATCTTAGGCGCGATTCTATCACCTTTTCCTTAATTGTTGCTACTTCAACTTTTTATCTAATACATTATTTGCTTATGTTATATGCTACAAGTCAGATAAATTTTGAAACAAATATTTTCCTTTGGAGGATGCAGGTTTTAAGATTGAGCTTAAGTTTCATGTAACTGCAGACGAATCACAATGTACAATACTAGGAATTTGGGATGGCAAATTCATTGGTCAATCCTCTAAACTTTACACGAATTCATGGATATTAAGGTTCAAAAAGGTTTGGAAGGCTTCTGAAAATGGGATTTTTACTATGATAATTCTCTTCACTAATTTTTTCAACTTGGGAAAACAAAAATAGAAGCAGATGCAAAAAGAGAGGAAGAAAGTCTAGTTTGTTCATAAGGGAAATATGTTCACTTTGGTCCCATGAAAATATATTTTTCCATCCAAATTCCTCCAAGAATGGTTCTATTTGATGCAGCTACTTTTATTCAAATTCTAACATTGGAAACGGATGGAGGAAATGAATCTTGTTATTGAAGAAAGATGTTGAACCTAATAACTCTGGTTGGAAAGAGTATAGCGTCATCTTATGTTTGAAGTTATGTGTGTCATCTCTTCTTTAGTTTTGACCTGTGCCTCTAATAGATTGGAGTTGCTAGCTTTTTAGAGGAGAGGCTTTGGAGGAACAGATCTGGCTTGATTTGGAAAGCTTCATCCCTGTGCCTAATGTTGTCATTATGGTGCTAGAGGAATCATTTTAGCTCTCTCGGAAGCAAAATTTCTGCATACCTGCATTAAATTCCTAGTCTCTTTGATTTAGTTGATACATTTTGGCATTCTTAAGATCCTTTGGCTAGATTTTATGTACTTGAGTTCATTTTACTGAATTTTAGCAGAGGAGATGCACATATTGCATGGTAAATAATAATGAAGCCTAAGTAAGCATACGAATTTGAGTAAAGTGCACCCCAAACTTGTAATCCGGTGACAGCATGAGATCTTAGCAATTTCCCTTCCAGGGCACCCCAAACTTGATTTTTCCTGTTCACAAAATAAAATTTATCCTTATTCATCAATGGCCTTCTCAGATAGACTGGTATTTGGAGTTGTTAGTATTTTCTCCTATTATTGGCCTCCTAATCCCTACTTTGTATCTCCCTTTGACTTTTATCTGTCCACTTTTTCCAAATTGATCTAATGAGTTCTGTATTAACCTCTTGTTGTATATTTGTATTTAAATAAACTGACATTTGGTTCGCTGGAGTCTACAAGTGTGTTTGTTAACATCTATAATGAGGAATTGGTCATTGCCTTGAGAAGGTCCTTCCCTCAAAATGAGAGAATACCATCCCCTCCAAATTGGAAGGCATGACTATTTAATTCCCGGAATCATTAGTTCAATTGCAATTACACCCTATGCATTTTCTAAATATAACAAAAACATCTTTTGCCGCCACCACACTACCGCCACCCACTAACTACCATCAAGACCACCCCCACCACAGTCACCTTCACTACTACCATCATTCTATTCCTATCCATTCCTTTCCATTTTCATTCCCCTCAAAACCATTCCAGTGAACCAAAAGTTAGCTAAATTGCTCAGATAGAAATCTGCAGAATATCATTTCCTCTCTAGTTTTGTGAATGTTGTAACAAGAGCAGCTCTTTTGTGGTTGGAAATGTTATTCCAGTAGATGTAGACTTCTAGTTGTTTATTGGGTTTACTCCCGCAGTTAAACAAAATTTGAGAATTCAGAGCCTTTGCTATGTTACAAATTTTTGGTTTATATATTAAGAAGGCCTGCTTAAGTTTCTTGTAGCATTAATTCTTCGTTGAAATATTGTGTTCTTTTTGGGAGTTTAGATTATAAGAGATTAAAGGAAGCATTTTTGCTTGGTTTTTGTGCAAATTCTGAGAGAACGAAGAAACCCGCCATCATGATCCGCAATATTATGCTGTGAATTATTGTTAAATTCTTGATCATGCATCTGCTGACTGTGCTTTATGCCCTTTTGATAGGAATTTCATTATAATTATCTTCATGAAGTGATGTAATGGTAGACTTTGGGTTGGAGGACACGAGATTCCCTATTGCAGTCTCCGGTTTCTCATTCAATCCCTTATCTGGTTGCTAACGGATGATGAATTTTTTTTTTCAGAATAACATGACACTAGGACTTTAGTAGTGTGTTTAAGCTGCCTCCATTGTATAAAAGCATATTTTACACTTAGATTCTTGTATATTGTAAAGAGTGATTTGTTAGTGTTAATATACTATTAAATTACACTTGATATCAAGCCTGGTTTGGGATTAAGGTAATGTTAATGTTTAAAGGGAGCCTGGTGATATAAGCTACTTTTATTCAAAGCTGAACTTTGTATAGTATAAACCTTCATCATATATTTATGAAATTTTGGCCTTTTTTTATACTCATTTCTTTCATTTAACATGATGTAGTTGGGAGGTTCATTTGGTCAAGAAGCTAAAGAATAAATGGTGGCAAAATTCAAAACTAGGATATGCAGCATTCGTCTTAAATGGAGCAAATCTAACATAACATATGTAGCTGTATAACCGTGTTCACCAAAATAAAACAAATGCAACAATGGGAACGTTACAAATCTAAAATCCCTGGCAGCGACTCAGAATTTTTATCAATGCAAATCCTTTTAATTTTTTCTCTTCTTGTTTTTTCAGTTGCTTCTTTTGTATATTGTGTTGGACTCATAATTGCGTTCTATAGTTATTAGATTTGATCACATAAAGTGATGGTTATTGGATTTCTTCATTTAAAGTAAGGGGGTGCATTTTAAAGATTGAAATGTAAGTGATATATCCATTAATGAAAATAAATAAGTAAATTTTTTTTTTCCTTATCTATAATTTGTCACCCACCCAGGTACAAGTGTTTTATAAAATCTTAAACCTTTGATTTTATAATACAGTATCCCTCGCTGTAAAAGATTTAAATATGTATAAAAAATAAGAAGTTTTAGACTAATTTTTATTCATTGATTTAATAAAAAAATTAAATATAAATAAAATCAACAATAAAATTGAGAATGTAATTTACGATGCTACAACATTGTCATAAACTATATAAGGACATATCATATAATGAACTATATACTACGAATAAGATAATGACCACTAGAAATCCTGACCTATAGAATATCACATCACAATTGTAAAGACAACGTGGGGTATATCTAATATCATTGTCTTTGTTAGTCAATTGCTAGAAGTAGAAATTGACTGAGGGTGGTGCTTTTTTTATTTGTTTTTGTTCAGTGAGCAAGTGAAGATTTTTTGCGTTGGTGGGCCTTTGCTGGCTATGTGATGCCAGAAAGGCTCCCTTAAATTACGGTCCAAACTGATTCATAGAGTTAAGGTAATCACTGCTGCCCAAACCTTCAAAAAGCATTTGATATCTTTAGAAGCTTTTTCAAAGATACCATACCCCGTTTAAAAAAAGTAACGTATAAGTAAATCAATTATTACATTCATTAAAATATAATTTTGTTTTTAATATGATATTGACTTTCGTAGTTATAAAAGTTAGCTGACTAAAGGGGTGTCTTATCACAACTTTTTTTATTTTATTTTATTTTATTTTCTTGCTAATGCATTGTACAAAAATTGTGAACTTGTGAAATTCATTATTTTGGTACATAAGCTTGAGTTAAAATGTTTACAATGGTATTTCATGATAAACCTCTCTTTAGAATGTCATTCTTCCAATCATTAGGGTAACTAGGCGGAATAAGATCTGCCTTGTAACATTTCGTTCACCATCAGTTTGTTATCATTATATATGGTATTAAGCATAATTATAATTATAATAATTGAATTAAATTTATCCATAAATTTTTCTTTTAATTCCTTTTTTGATATTTTTCTGTTTTCTATTAATAATTTATTCCATAATCATTTAATTCAATTATTGTGATTATAATTACACTTAATATCATGTGTGATAATAACAAACCTTAACACGAACGGGGTGTTACAATATATATCAATTCCAGGTTCATATAAAAAAAAAAAGAGTTCAATGTATCAAAAAAAATCAAAATTACTAAATTATGATATTCCTTTATCAATCTGAAGTTTATTTCTTTCACATTCTAACTTTTTCAGGTATTCCTTTATCAATCTTTTATAATATGTTTGAATAAAAATAATTAAAATATGAAGACAAAAAATGCTTTGAATAACATCAAGGTAAATAGCATGAAGAATATATCGTCAATTATTCAACCATAACGTGTGCATCCTCTTTCATTATCCTTAACAGTAGATCATTCATTTCCATCCAAATCCACCCTATTTGTTAATGATCAAGTTATATCCACCCTTGTTGATTACGGTACTTTTCTAATATTAATAAGATTACGCAATTAGTAGTCATGATATGAACTGACACATTAAGACACTAGGATAACTATTCTTTATAAACTTTTTACTTTTTCTTTTTGGTAAAATGATTCTTTATAAACTTAAAAAGATGAAAATGTGGAGACCCCAGAGGATCATTATGATCAAATTTTCCAGCTTGTATTCCTACCTTTTTTTCCATATGGGCTATGGCATATACTATGTCTAATGCAACTTATTTCAACCCTATCTAGAAGCTTTCTAAGGACCATTTGCTTTCCTAGTTGCCCACCATTATAGGCCCTTAAAAGGGCAATAATTTGATAAAGTCGACTTTGTATCAAGACCTTTACCTTGTCCTTTATTGTGTCCAATCTTTTGTTGCATTTATCATTGCGGTTCACATTGATATTGGGATAATATGAACGACTTATATTTTATTCATATGAATCTAATCCTATTATGAAGCTGAGCAATGGAAATGCGCCATTCAGAGGGACACCGACACTGACACAAGAACATGCTCTGTTTGTGCATTGTAGATTATGTTAAAAAATCAACACCACATAGTGGCACTGCACAGTTATATTTATAAGAAAACGCTTTCTGTTTTATTCATTCAAAGGCAGAGCCTATCTTTATAAAATTTTATAATTCTCGTGTTGAAGGATAATTGAAATCTCATGTTGTAGAGATAAAAAGCATGTGGAACTCATGTGTTAGAAAAAATTATATGTAGGACCCATATAAGCACGAAAATCGAAGGGGGTGTAGGAAAATTGTAATTCTCATGTTAAATAAGAATTACAAAACCCATCTTTATATAAACAATAAAAAATAAAAGCACATTTATGCATAAAAGAAAGATGTAAAGGAATATGTAACAAAAAAAAATGTAAAGGAACAAAAATGAAAGTAATTTTTAAGATAAAAAAATTAAAAAAATATATATATAAAAGCTAAAAGAACAAAGAGGGAAAAAATACATTATAAATTTCAACTTTTGTGTCATACTTGTAAAAATGGAATCGAATCAACAGCCAAGCTGATTAAATAGTCGATTAATCAATTTGACCAGTTAACTAACTGAGTTTTATTTGTGGGGTAAGTTTGTTTCAATAATTATAAAAAAAAGTTTAGAAATATGAAGTTAGTAATAAAAATTCTTACATTTGGCATAAAAAAATCATAAGCAATATTTTCTCCCAACAAAAAAGTTACGTTCTTATATTTTTCTTAATTTTGATTTTTAAAATCTATATATATATATATATATATATATAAAGGAGAGTTCAATGTTGGAAACTTCGCTGATGTGTCACTCATTGCTTAATTCTGAAAATTGTGTTCACTACATGGCATATAAAAACTTTTCTTCTTTGGTAAATTGGAAAAAGAATTCTTTTAAAAATCGATTTTTTTTTTAAATAGAAAAACAAATGACCATTTGTGGTGGCAGACAAGGCATTGAATGTCCCACTGCCCATTATATTGGAATTGGTCAGCTGATTTAATTGCTTTTTACATTAAAATTTTGAAATTCGAATTTTGATTGCTCATTTGATTGGAATGACTCATCTGATCTAAAATTCGAATTTTGAAATGAAATGACTCAGCTGTTTTAATTGCTCATCTGATCTAAAAATTTCAAATTTTGAAATGGAATGACTTAGCTGTTTTAATTGCTTTTTATATTGGAATTGCTCATCTGATCTAAAATTCGAATTTTGAAATGGTTTCAAAATTTGAATTTAAAATATGGATGGTGGGAAAAGATTTGGAGAGTTTTTGGCATTCATTTTGTATAAATAGTGAAGTTGTGTTTCTTATTTTTTTTAGCTTACCTACGATTTCTTTCTTCATTTCTGTTTGTAGGGGTTGTTGTGTTGGTATTATTTTTTGTTTTCTTTGGCTTTCTCCGTTTCATTTCATATTTTAATGGAAGGTCCTTCTTCTGCAAACGTGCCAAGATTGAGGAAAGTGTTTGTTGATCTTTGCAATGCTATCTTCTTATAAACAAGACGTAAATAATCTTTACGATTCGTTTTTTTTTATACTAATTATCTTTTTTTCATTTTGTAGGGCAGAAGTTTTCATCGTATTTTATTTTGTGTGGTTCTTGCCTACGTTTTTTTTCCTTCGTTCGTATGTGTAGCGGATGTTGTATGATTATTATTTTTGGTTACCTTATAAACAAGTTGCTATGAATTAGTTTTCATTTTTTGTATACTAATTCTCTTTTTTTCGTTTTGTAGGGCGGAAGGTTTCGTCGTATTTCATGCTGTGTGGTTCTTGCCTACATTTTTTTTTTCTTCGTTCATATGTGTAGCTAATGTTATATTATTATTATTTTTGTTTACTTTACAAGGAAGTTGTTATGTATTAGTTTTCATTTTTTGATACTAATTCTCTTTTTTTCGTTTTCCATGGCTGAAGGTTTCATACTACTGTGATTAGTTATTTACGTAGTAAACGCCCTCAATGCTGCGTAGTGCTTTCCTACGATTTTTTTGCTACCCGATACAAAAATTGAATGGTAATCAATGGAATAAGATGTCAACGGGTGAAGAGTTTAAAATTTATCTGCATCGAGGGTCCTTCTTCTGCAAACGTGCCAGGATGGAAGAAAGGGTTTATCGATATTTGCAATACTACTGCAAAAGTTGCAAGGATTATTTAAGGCTTCCTGGGGATATTTTTTTGTATTCTGCGAGTTGTGGATATATTTTCTTCGTGCTTGATAATTTAAGAATGTCTGTGATGACGATTTGGGATTATTATTTTTTTGCTGTTGTTGAACTATATTTAGAAATTGATCATTGAAGCTGTTCTTGAATATTTTTAATTTGTGTGATGTTATGCTGCATCTGTGTGGTGTTCAGTTATGGTGCATGATGTTTGAATTTGTTATAATCTAAATTTTAGAATTTGTTGATGTTGTTGTAAAGCCATTTGTTGGAAGGAATAAATGATGCTTTGAAATAAGTTGCATAATTTTATGGACGATGGCTG